CGGCACACGAGGGGGTGGGTGACCAGCACCACGCCTGGCCGTCTTTGTCTCCCCAGTGAAGATGTTTTTGCTCACCGCACCAGGTACCCATTTGAGGCTGAGTCGATCTAGGGGAGGCCCAGACCTGGTTTCAGATAATCGTCACTGGTTTTGGCCTTGAGCGGGAATCGAACTCGGTTCACCAGGTTAGTAGCGCAGGGTACTAACCGCTACACTACCGCTCCCCACACATATATACACACATATATACATATATACAAACTGGGGAGAATACTACACAACTTTCTTTAAACAAAATAAAACTTGTACCTCCAGTAACCTACTTGCAAGGAAGTTCCTTTTAAGGCAATAATACGGCACGAAGATGGTGTGTTTTTTTTGGTATTTGAATGACGCCAACGCGCAGCTATGATACCCGGCACGTATTCAGGAGTTAGCACTGAGGATCCGTTCTGCGTCTCCGCAGTTGGGTCCTGTTGGCTTTCCGGACCAATATGAAGCCGGCAGCAGCTGTCTCGGCGAGCAAACTCTCTTTTCCACTTTCTATCTCGCGCCCTGAACTTTGTTCTGCAAGTCTCTGCACGATGACGAAGAGGTCCATTTCCCGAAACGTAACCAATTTTACTTGAATACATTCTAGGGCAGTGCTATTGACCTGTGAGAGTTTTTTCGTGTGTGTTCGCAATTGGTTGTTGGGGTAAGATTTCGTAAAGGAAATGTGTGTCGGGCACTATCCTCCACGCTCTGCACATTCTACTGACAGTGGCGAAATGACCCAAAATGTCATTACGAATCACAAATTTTGGCTCGTGAAATGTCCACACGTGGTTTTGCGTTTTTTCGTTGTTGTCATTTGTGCTTATTCATCCACTTCCAACGGCAGTATCACGACACAATTCTGGCCGTAGGAATCGCGTTCTGTACACGAAGTGAAACATGCGATGGGTTCTACCCAAGTTCGCCAGCGGACAGGAGGGCATCACGGAAGTGCTCCAGTCTGTGCCAAGGACGAGCCCGTTCACAGATTATAATTACAAAAATAACAACTCGCTTTTCGCTACTGACACAATGATCCATTGAGATTTGAACCTTGTGACTGGACCCCGGGGTACCATAAGCCCCCCCCGCCCCCACCCCGGCTCTCGCATGAACTGCGTTGCGACGTCATTGCATGTCTGTTGAAGGCGAATGACACGGCTATCTATTCTCCTCGACGAGCTCTACACGATGCACTCATCGAAGTTTCAAGGTTTTGGTTATGACTACGGACATTTTGGTGAAGAACGAGAGAATCGGTTTATGGTGGGTCGCGGCGTTTATGTGTGAGGTGGGACGGAGTCAACAAAAATGAATTAATAAATTAATTACGATTTTAACTTGCGTTTATTCGTGACCCCGGGGTACCGCCATGAGGCTCAATTTAAACTATCCCTTCCGTTCATCTATTCGTTCACAACCTCACATTGATCAGCGTGGTGAAGTATGGTCAAACGGGACCTGGCCCCCTCCCACATCGCCCGTAGAACGGCACGCATTTGGGAGGCCTTCATCCAGCAGTGGATTGACAGAGGGGCTGTGCATACGCTATATATACACTAAGACGGTCTGTACGTGTAAGTTGGCTGGCCATTCAAAAGGCCACATATATTTGGTCATTTGGGAAAAAAAAAGGCCTCGATTAGGTTTAGAGTAAGGTAGACTGGATTAAGTGTTAGTTGTGTTAAATACAAACGTGGGTAGCGTCCCAATTGTATAACACGCCCGGTAAAACGACGAAGAAACGCATCAGACGGAGCGGGTGACGGGGGTAGAACTTCAAACGGTGGCCACACTCGCATCTCCTGTTGTCTCGAAATCACAGTTGGCCAGTCAGATAGTGAGCCTCTGCAAGCCAGATAGTGAACTCAAGCAAAGAATCAGTTCTTTGCGAGTTACATTCAAGGAATGTCGCATTGGGTTTATATCTACAGATAGACTGTTCGATAGTCGTACATCGAGTTCGTGACTTTGTATAGTCGCGAGCTGTGGTCTGTGTAGGTAGTGCGTGTTCTGTGTGTAGGTAGTGCGTGCTGTGTGTGTAGGTAGTGCGTGTTCTGTGTGTAGGTAGTGCGTGCTGTGTGTAGGTAGTGCGTGTTCTGTGTGTAGGTAGTGCGTGTTGTGTGTGTAGGTAGTGCGTGCTGTGTGTAGGTAGTGCGTGCTGTGTGTAGGTAGTGCGTGCTGTGTGTAGGTAGTGCGTACTGTGTGTGTAGGTAGTGCGTGTTCTGTGTGTAGGTAGTGCGTGTTCTGTGTGTAGGTAGTGCGTGTTCTGTGTGTAGGTAGTGCGTGTTCTGTGTGCAGGTAGTGCGTGCTGTGTGTGTAGGTAGTGCGTGTTCTGTGTGCAGGTAGTGCGTGCGCTGTGTGTAGGTAGTGCGTGTGCTGTGTGTAGGCAGTGCGTGCTGTGTGTAGGTAGTGCGTGTTCTGTGTGTAGGTAGTGCGTGTTCTGTGTGTAGGTAGTGCGTGCTGTGTGTGTAGGTAGTGCGTGCTGTGTGTGTAGGTAGTGCGTGCTGTGTGTAGGTAGTGCGTGCTGTGTGTGTAGGTAGTGCGTGTTCTGTGTGTAGGTAGTGCGTGTTCTGTGTGTAGGTAGTGCGTGTTCTGTGTGTAGGTAGTGCGTGTTCTGTGTGCAGGTAGTGCGTGCTGTGTGTGTAGGTAGTGCGTGCTGGGTGTAGGTAGTGCGTGCTGTGTGCAGGTAGTGCGTGCTGTGTGTGTAGGTAGTGCGTGTTCTGTGTGCAGGTAGTGCGTGCTGTGTGTAGGTAGTGCGTGCTGTGTGTAGGTAGTGCGTGCTGTGTGTAGGTAGTGCGTGCTGTGTGCAGGTAGTGCGTGCTGTGTGCAGGTAGTGCGTGCTGTGTGCAGGTAGTGCGTGCTGTGTGTAGGTAGTGCGTGTTCTGTGTGTAGGTAGTGCGTGCTGTGTGTAGGTAGTGCGTGCTGTGTGTGTAGGTAGTGCGTGTGGTGTGTGTAGGTAGTGCGTGCTGTGTGTAGGTAGTGCGTGCTGTGTGTGTAGGTAGTGCGTGTTCTGTGTGTAGGTAGTGCGTGTTGTGTGTGTAGGTAGTGCGTGCTGTGTGTAGGTAGTGCGTGTTGTGTGTGTAGGTAGTGCGTGTTCTGTGTGTAGGTAGTGCGTGTTGTGTGTGTAGGTAGTGCGTGCTGTGTGTGGGTAGTGCGTGCTGTGTGTAGGTAGTACGTGCTGTGTGTAGGTAGTGCGTGCTGTGTGTAGGTAGTGCGTGCTGTGTGTGTAGGTAGTGCGTGCTGTGTGTAGGTAGTGCGTGTTCTGTGTGTGTAGGTAGTGCGTGCTGTGTGTAGGTTGGTGCGTGCTGTGTGTAGGTAGTGCGTGCTGTGTGTAGGTAGTGCGTGTTGTGTGTGTAGGTAGTGCGTGTTCTGTGTGTAGGTAGTGCGTGTTGTGTGTAGGTAGTGCGTGCTGTGTGTAGGTAGTGCGTGCTGTGTGTGTAGGTAGTGCGTGTTCTGTGTGTAGGTAGTGCGTGTGCTGTGTGTAGGTAGTGCGTACTGTGTGTGTAGGTAGTGCGTGCTGTGTGTAGGTAGTGCGTGCTGTGTGTAGGTAGTGCGTGTTCTGTGTGTGTAGGTAGTGCGTGCTGTGTGTAGGTACGTGTGTGTGCTGTGTGTGTAGGTAGTGCGTGCTGTGTGTGGGTTGGTGCGACGTATGTGTGCACACACGCTGGGCTACTTGAACGGCAGCTCTCCGCAGTGCGAGCGGGCGCGCGCGGTTTTCGCACGGCATCAAGACGGCTGGTTGCCTCTGTCCACGAACCTCGTTCATTGCGTGAGGCATGATTATCATGATTATTTACACCGTATGGGTGGTAAACAGAGTCAGTGGGGGGGGGGGGGGGGGTTGTTTTCTATCTCTCTTACATCGTGCAACTGCGGAGAATAAATTGTCCCGGAATGAACAAAAGTTGTGAAACGTTTGCGTCTGAGTGAGTGAACCCGTTTGCGAACACGCTTCGTGTGCCCAGGCGTGGTTTGTGGTACGCGTAAGTAGCGAGCAAGTGGTTCTAAATTTTTCGCGATTTAAAATCTGCAGAAATTAACAACAACATTAACAACATCGCCAACGACGAATGCGGACGCCGCTGTGCGTGTTCGTTTCCGTGGTTAGGATCGTGATGACACTCCATTTTATTTACGGCACCACGACAATTACGCGATTCATCATACGCTTGAAATGTCATTTATTTTTGGTTTATTTTACGTGGTAATTAGTGATCTTACTCTCTATTCCTTATGCGAGGGCGTATCTATGCCACCAATATTTAGTGAAGTGCGATTGTACATCCTTGCGTATGATGTCAGCGATATGTTGAGGAGCTTTAATGCCAATGTCGAGGTCTACGAGACAGGAGAGGCCTTCAGCAGAGAGTCGGTGTTGATTTGCTATTCCTCCTGCGGCGATGGAGCGCAGACTACATTGGTTTACCATATGGTCCATAAAAGTGCGATTATTGAAACGAATGGGGATATAATAATTAAAGACACACTTTTTTTTTGTATCAGTATGGATTTTATTATTTAAAAAAAGACTTTAAAGTAATCTGTGTCTACACATTTGAACAAAAAAGCGCCTCTTTTTTTTCACTATAATCCACACATAAGCATTATTTTACACTGACGGCTGCACGACTTTTTTTTTATCATTATTTTGTCGCAACAGCAAATAAATATCCATGATGAGCACAGCACGTGTGCTTTTAAAACACACGCTTAAGGTTCAGCTGTTTAAATTTTGATTTAAAGCTTTCGTGACTGCAGGGACTTCTATTTTTGGTTCTTTCAGTAAAGTCACGTAGAAGGAAAACAATAAAATAATAAAAAAATATAAAACAATACATTTCTCACGACGTTTCGACTGCAACACAAGCAATCATCATCAGGTGTGAAAACCACGGCAAGAAAATAACCGCCACTTTTTTTCAAAATTTCTTGCTGTGGTTTTCACACCTGACGATGATTGCTTGTGTTGCAGTCGAAACGTCGTGAGAAATGTATTGTTTTATATTTGTATTATTTTATTGTTTCCCTTCTACGTGACTTTACCGAAAGAACCAAGAATATGTTCAGCTGTTTGTTTCTGTACTTCCAAAAGCGTTGAACATTTCCAAAATATGAATGCCACCACTGTAACAGTGCTATACTATGAAGTCTAAAGATGCGTGCCATGTTATGCTCAAAGTGCCTGCTAAAGTTGGTTTAAGCCACGAGTTTATACCCTGAAGCGGTACGCTCTCAACTGAACAGCTGAATAATGTAAAAGTGTAAAATCCCGGGCTTACTCCAAGGGTCTGTCAGTAATGCGTTAAAGACGACTGTGTAGCCTCTATAGGGGATACATGAATAACCCATCGAGACAGGTTTGACTTATTTAATAAAATGCGAGCCGATGAAAGTGTCGTACCTTTAATCCGATTTCCTACAGTAGCTCTTATTCCACGTTGGGGCTGCTTGTAAATAACCGTAGCCGTTCCGCAAGCGTGACGTGCACACGGCCCCTTTTTGCAAATCGGCCCGAGCCGGCCCGGCCTGATGACGATCATGAACGATCGAGCGTGCGCACGCACAGACACACACAAAGCAGCACGCCACACCGTAGCGCGCTGGGACAACCTATCCAATGTTGACGAGGCTAGACGAGATGGAGTGCATCATGGAGTCCTGTAGGGCGTGCTGCTGCTGCTGTTGATGCTGGTGGAGTTGCTGCTGCTGCTGTTGCTGCTGCTGCTGCTGCAAGCCGGTCCCCGCGCCTCCCGACGGGGCCGGCACTCCCGGGTTGGGTGGCAAACCGGCGTAGCTGAGGGCTCCTCCGCCGTGCTGAGACATGTGGCTCTGGTGCTGGTGCTGAGCCAGAGCCTGGTGCTGGTGGTGCTGGTGGCTCAGCGACTGGTGGTGCTGGTGATGGGGGTGGTGGTGATGTGGCGCCTGGAGGAGAAGAGGAGGGCTAACTCCGCCGTGGTCGGGCGTGTGATCGGGCGACTTCTCGTCGTCCGAGCTGCTCAAGAGGCTTCGGGCTCCGTTAAGCGGCGACAGGAGCTGCGTCGGGGCCGTTCCGGACGAGTTGCTGTTTGTGTTTTCGCTGTTCTCCCTAGAGGGAGGGAGCGTGCGAGAGAACGGCGCGTTAATGGTTTCCGTTTGAAAATGAATGTGCCCATTTAATGGACCCTCTCCGCGGGAAGGCAAGCTGTGACGACCCCAGCTGATACAAAGAAATACATAAATATAGACCGCTCACGCTATTTAAACAGGAATGCTTCGAATGACTTGGAGAGCCGTTCGGATGATTAATTGCGCAGAAAGTGCGGAGAGAAAATATTATCGTTTAAAACCGGCGCTTAATAACGACAGTGACTTCAAAATTCGTAGCGCAGACAGAACATTGAGATGGTATTTTAACAAAAATGATATATTTCCTAATTACCCGTGACAAATGTTATAAGTACGTGCCTTACCATTCTGGGTTTTGTTTAAGGAGAGTTTACTACACACAGAAGGCCTGCGTAAGATAAAAAAGTACACTCTGCGTGTGTTAAGTATCGGTCAAAGTATTCATATTCAATATTTTGTTCGCGAAAGCCCCGAGTCAGTTGTGAACGAATGTTTCTACCATTTGATATTCACATCGTGTGTCAGCCTCCTGTATGAAATCACAATTGCCATTTACACAATGATCACAACATTTAAACCGTGTAACGTGTTTCTAAAGCGTGTTGTGTTTAATTTAATAAGCTCAAAACGCTTTGGAGCATTGCGCCGCGGTTCGGTTTACGCACGCAAATTATTATTCTATTTTTTTTTTTAAAGAAATACGTCTTTAGTAACTTAATATATTTTGAAGCGTGAAATTTGTTCGTTGCCTCATGTGTTGCTATTGTAAGTTCGAATCGTTATCCAAATAATTACGCATGGACAAAGGTGCGTTCTTCTTGCTGGGAAATATGGTCTAGCGGTAAATTTCTCTCTGTGGAACATGCACACCAACGGAAATGAAGACGGTATTCTAACGCGTTGACTGCTGCAAATCTGCTAATCATACCGTGTACATATACGCATAAATAATAACCCCACAGCACTAAACCAAAATCACGGAATACTTCAAATGACGCATTAAAAAAACGAAATCCAACCGGCACTGAACTGGAACCGTAACAACAATAAACAATAACCACGCATCGAAGACACTTTGCGCGTAAAGCCCCAGTAATGTCCCGAGTGTCAATGCGTGACCAGCGTTTGTTCAACGTTTCGCAGGCGACCTGCCACCACACAGCAGCCGTATCTGACAACCGCGCGATCAGGGAGGGGGGGGGGGGGGGTTGGGTGGGTGACAGCGAACGAGCCGAGATCTCCGCGTGTGCCCCAGCCGAGTGCGAGCCTCCTTCACCTCTCTTTGGCCTCCGCGGCGCGGTCGCGCTGTCGCCGGTTCTTGAACCAGTTGCTGACCTGCGTCGTGGTCAACCCCGTGGCCTCGGCCAGCTCCCGCTTCTCGCGCGGGGACGGGTACGGGTTGTGCGCGTACCACTCGCGCAGCACGCCCCGAGACTTCTCCTTGAAGCAGTAGCTCGTCTCCTCGCCGTCCCAGATGGTCCTCGGCAGCGGGAACTTGCGCCGCACCCGGTACTTGCCCACGGCGCCCAGGGGCCTCCCGCGCAGCTTCTCCGCCTCCATGTAGTGCGCCTTGAGCCACAGCTGCTGCAGCTTGGGGTGGTTGTGCGGCGAAAATTGGTGGCTCTCCAGGATCTTGTAGAGCTCGCGGAAGTTGCCCCGGTGGAAGGCCACCACGGCCTTGGCTTTGAGCACGCTCTCGTTCTTGTGGAGGTGCTCGCAAGCGGGCAGCGACCACAGGAAGCGTCCCAGGCGCTCGATGTTGCCTCCCTGCTGCAGCACCTCGCACACGCACGCCACCTGCTCCTGCGTGAAGCCGAACGAAGGCAGCATGGACATCGTCCAAACGGGTTCCCTTCTCGGGCGCAGAAAGTAAAACTTAGGAGGTCGGGCGACGGAGCTCCCCGACGTTTAATCTTGCGGACGGGCGAGCGAGCGAGCGAGCGAACGCGAACGCGAACGCGACGCGACCGCTCCTCTTCGGTCGACGTTCGCGTGCGTCCCCAACGCCGCGACTTGCGTGCGACTGCGTTGCGAGTTCCGCGCGCGCGCGCGCTCTCTCTCTCTGGCACAGCCGCAAGAGCCACGGGCGGGTTGATGGGGACGGCGCTGGGACGGGCTGGGGTTAGTAGCCAGTGCCCGGGCAAAGGGGATTGGTCGGAGCGCGATCACAGACGCGGCGCAGGCCCCGGGTAACTGGTTCGTCTCCCCGCGGAGCCTCCCCGAAACCCGACACCCGCCCAGCTGTCGCTACGTCCCCCCCCCGCCCGCCCGCCCGCGGCGCCACCGCCGACACATCAGCCCTGGGCCCAGGGAAAATATTATTATTACTACCCATAAAACGGAACAGATACAGTGTGTATATAAAAAAAAGTTGTAAATAATGGGTGGAGGTGGAGAGGGGTGGGGGGGGGCCGAGAAGGAAGGACGGGGTGGGGTGGAGGAAGTTCCATGGAAATTCTTGCCGTGCAGAACACGAGCACGTTGCGTTTTTTGCGCATTAAAATTTATTTTTGTAACGGCGTAGCACGTTTTCGAGTCGATTTGTGCCATGTGTCGCATCTTCTTCACGAGTTACCCCCCCCCCCCCCCAAACAACCCTCCCCCCCGTAGTTTAGCGTGCGGGAATTATTTAGACTTCTTCGTTGCGATGGATCTGGGTGCGCGTATTAGCCATTGGCGGATTCGTTGCGCTCATATCGATAAGGCACGCAGAGGTGTCACGCTCTTGCTGTAATGAGGATTGAGGACGGGCCGAGGAGCGATTGTGGGAAAAAAACCCAAACTAAAGACCACACAGTAGAACCAGTGGTTTTCAAACATTTTTGTTGTTAGTTTACTGTGCCCCCTTGTTGAATTGTGTTTCAACCGAACACCCCCTTGTCTAACCAACGTGGTTCCGAGAAATGAATGTATGAACAATGAACATCAATATTCTAATCGATTGTCCATTTTGTGAGGTATCCTAACTAGCGAGTAACTGCAAGCGAATGAAACCAAATCGAACGAACGCTCTGCGTGTGAGAGGTAATTTGTGCTCGTTCGCTGGTTACTTTTGGATACCACATTGTTTACCATCAATGAGTTTGGAAAGGTATTTAATATCGTCCCAGGTTACCATTTGCATTTGGATGTTATCGTAGTTATCGTATATTGGCAGATTCATACGTAATTACGCGTGATATAATTTCACACATTTATACATCATCATCACCTACCCCCTGGGACATTGATACGTACCCACACAGAGGTCCGCATATCCCCGTTTGAGAACCACGCGCTCCTTCAACGGAGGAGGAATAGCAACACCCCCACGAGCTCTCTCTCTCTCTCCCAAAGCCCTTTCGTCGTGAACACATTGCTGCCGTGGCCTCTAATAGAATACATCTCAACACAGGATTCCGAGGCTAAAGCACGGCCAAGGTTCTAACTGGCGTCAGTCTCCCGTGTGCGCCGTGGCGAGCAATTACTTCTGATCGCGCCAAATTCCGCGTGAGATGTTCAAGTTCAGGTGGTCGCACGCCGCCACTCTTTCAAAGGGTAGCGCACATACACCGCGGATTCGAGTGTGTTTAATGATTACTCGTAATGTCGCGTGTTAGACACTTGTGTGCAGGCAACTGCCTGGACAGTCACGATTCGAATTTAATAATCGTCAGTCATCAGTCATTATGAAAAGCTTCCGCTGGTTCAAGGCCTCCTTCAAGCCACCCAGGACATCTCACAAATGTGAATGCAGTCTATACTGTATTTGAACACATACAAGGCTGAACGTCTCGATGTATGTAACAGTAAGTGTTGTAAACTACAGACTTGTTTGGAAACAAATAATAATTGTTCGTTCTTCCCTCGAAACCGTTACGTCAATGTTGTCGTCAGTGTTCTCCGAATAATCAGAGTCACTTTTTTCGGGACGTATTTGTCGTCTATTCCGTGCGCGAAACACGAACACTCCATCCTCTCGGGGAGTGTCCAGGATCGGAACGCGCAAATTTCATCGCTCCGTTGCTCGCACGTGAGCAACAACATTACGCGTGTAATTCATTGTCGTATTCACCATTGGCGCTTCATTAACGTTACACAAACATTCGTTGCGACGTAGATATGCGTCTTCCGCGAAGAAACACGCACGAGTGAAGAACTTTCGGCCGTAGGGGGGAAAAAAAAACGGAATTGTCTCGAGTCAACTCAATAAATTAATAATCCACCTCCGTTCCCGAACTGCAACGCACAAGTGATAATGGAACACATTGCAGGACGTCAGCCTACAGGCTTTCCAGACCGATCATATGCAGCAGCATCTGGTCCGCACCCAGTGTCGACATTTTTTGAGTGTCATCAGCAGCGTCCGTCTTGTTAAAACGAGTACAAATTAGTGTGTTTGAGACTCTAAAGTCCGGTATTGTCTTTCTTGAACTCGAGGCGAGGAGGGATGTGGAAGGGGGGAGGCTGAAGCGGTGGGGGAGGAGGCTGTGGGGGTTGGACGCGCGTCTCTTGTCTTCCGCGAAGACGCTACCGGTAACTTTTACGCATTCGCTCATACATTCACTCGTTCATACTCGGTGGCACCCAGTACCGCTCGCTCTGTGGTGGGTTACTCGAGTAGACACGCACGGGGGTACTCAACGCAGGACGTGCCCGTAAATAAATAAATAAACAAATATGCCATACACGTGCGCTGCGTGTCGCTCACGTGCAGGCAATTATATGCACGGCACATGAACACGTGTGTGTGTGTGTGCGTGCGCATGACACATGCACGCGTGTATGATGGAGGTCATAGTTTAAAAACCAGGAGAAATGACCGTGCATGCGAGCCGCTTGAAAACGAAAACATCTGCATAATATTTCTCACCCCTACGTGTGTGCTTTTTTTTGCTGTTGTTGGAATTTGCCGAAGTTTAAGTTATGTTTCAGTTTTCCTGCACCATTGGCAACGCCACGTTCATCATCGTTGGGTGGTGAATGGTCCCGAGTGAACATGCAACGTTGCGCCAACGTTCGTATGTGGTTGAAACCCTGGGGTCAACGTTGGCCCAACGTTCCATGTTTACTGGCCCATTGCTTTATTCTTTTTTTTGGGTTCGTAGTTTGTATGTTTAGTCACACGCTAACGCGGAGAGGATCGATTCGCTTGCGTAGAGCCGTAACCCCCCCCCCCCCCCAACGGGAATCCACCGCATTCTCAAGATTAGCCGACTGCGGGCATCCGTAAATTCGCTCCGCGTAGCGCGTCAACTCGGTTGAATTCCCAGTCCCTTCGTGAGCCCACTGCTTGATGAACGCCTCCTCGTGCCGTGTCCATCACAGGAGAGGAGGGATATGTCTGACCATGCGTCAACGCGCTGGTGAGTGCAGGCTGGCGGGGGGGTGGTGGCCAGGACCGGTTTCAGACATCACTCGCCACTGATGTTCGCAGTGGCTGGGATTTTATTCTTTTTTGACTGAGGTCGCCCGTGGTCACAGCGTACTGCGCCACTGCTCAACCCAAACGCGCTTAACAAAAAAAAAATCCCCAGTTAAAATTTACTCTTAACAATGAAACAAAAAACCCCGCGACGTTTCACCAGTCAAATACTGGTAGTTCAATCATTAATCGATACTACTGACGATTGACGACTCCACGATATGCATGCGTACGTGTAGTGTACAAGTGCAGCCTTGTTGACCATCCACTGTGGGATGAGAGCCTGAAGGACGACTTTAGAGTCGTTGATGGGACACCTCTAATTTTCTGCCAGCGTCTCTTTTCCCCAACGTATTTATTATTATTATTCTCATCATCGACATTCCACCTTCGATAGTGCTGTTTGGTGCTGGCCCCTTGGCGTTAGTCATCTTTGGGCTTGTGCTCGGCCACTGTGAATGTGCAAAACACATTGTTACGAGCAACAGCGATTGATTTGCGCGAACGGGAGGGAATCAAGAACAATTTAAATAGCGGTTGTTTAAATCCTCCATAAACACGGCCGTTCACACGGTCAATGTAGAGCACAGATGTAAGAGTTGCTTAAAGAAGCGTGGAGAGATGCTTGCTTGGAATTACGCTGAGAGCCCGAGAGATCAAGGACTAGATTCTAGAACGAACGCAGTTCACCACAGACACAACTAACACTGTTAAGGAAAGTGAGTGCGTTTGGGCACGACGCGAAGGGGTGATGATGATCGTCGGTTGAGACTAATAACGGAGTGGCAGCCAAGGAATGGAAACGCATCCCAAATACATCCGCGGATTTCGTGCGCCGGGTGCTGGGCGGATGATCCCATCGCAGCAGGATCGTGGAGGGTGGCTGCGGTGTCGGGAGACCTTTAATCCAGCAGTGGATTGACCATAACTGCTGCTGCTGCTGATGATGGTGATGATGATGGTGATGTTCGCCCACTTGCGTAGCAGCCACGGGCAGTGGAGAGCGAGGGAGTCGCACTCGTGCAGGGGGAGTGAGGAAGGGCGTCAGTGAGTCCATCGCTATTGCAGGTCTGTTCCTGCGCCACGACGAGACGATGGGGGCGGCTATCGGGTTACGCCTAATGGCTTTCCCAGCTCGGCCGCGAACCACCCACTTCAAGCGGAGGAGGAGCGGCAGGGCCGCTCCTAAATCCTCTTGATTGTTCCAATATGTCCGAGCGACGGTGAAATCATAGCGGGCCCGAGACGAGCACCGCCCCTGATGTCTTCACTAGACAAACTCGCCCGCGCTGGCGAGGGAGGGGCACGAGGAGGAGGGGGGCACTGCCGGACAATCGATGCCTCTCGCATTTCCTCATCGGCATTAATTGACCACAGCAGAGCTACTGCATGAGATTTATTTATTTAATATATTATATATATACCGGCTTTGTTGTGAGATATATCCGATGTGTTTTCGGGTTGTACCGCTAGTGTGTTGCTCGGCACGACGTCCGACGTTTCGCTTCCACGTCCTGAGAGGTTCCGTTTCCCGAAGAAGCTCCCAACACGTGGAGCAAGAACGTCTGATAACAAATTGTCCAGAGCACCACCTCAACGTAGCTCAACGTCAGTCGGGAATTACCGAAGCGGTCCTGGACCTCACGCACTCTGACTACTCGGCGCGGCGTACAAACAGCACCAGTGGGGGAGACAAAGGCGGCTGGGCGTTGGTTGCAGGTCACACCACCCCGCCTCGAGCACAGCGCCGGCGTTTATAGGCGTCCACTTA